GGCAAGTTTGTTTGTGCATTGGGAGCTCGTCGGAAATAAGGAGAAGATGAGCCTGCACACCATGGACGGCCGGGGCTGCCAGAACCGGCCGCACTTGGAGAAAGAACTGGTGCTTGCAGAGCTTCACATAGGTTAAAATGGGACCAACAACCGTGTTAGCTGTTGTCGGCAACTAGTAGTGCCAGGTATCGCGATTGACTTGCGGTCCTGAAGGTACGACCACTGCAGCCAGAGGTCAGAAGGGTATGCGTCAAAATGACACCAACTTGACAAGGGTACCCTGAACAAAAAGCAAGCACACCCGCAGGTGGGCTTAAATCAGTAGTAGCTTAGAGGCGTTGAACAGCTGGCTCAGCTGGTTATTGATTTAATAGAAGTCGCAACCCGCTAACCTTCGAACCAACAAACAAGAGGTCGGTACCATGCCAGTAGAAGAGCTTCTTTTTCAAGGACCCTCCTGTAAACCGATGTGATTTTTCAGGGGTGGCAGTTGGATCATTCCTGCAATCTTACAGCGGCTAGGAAGCTCCCCAAAGTCGCTAATTGGTTGGCAACTCAGGGGGTCTCAAGACGCTTGGATTTCCATCTGAACATTCAAGAGGGTTGTCCCCCCACGTGGTCAATCCCCCACCGCCAAAAGAAAGAAACGCGAGAGAGAGGGAGAGAACAACAGTTCCACACAGTTCCGCGTCTTTGTGGTTTTGGGCACCACCTTGCTGCTGCCAATTCAAAGGGAAATGTGCCTTGAAGCTAAAGGTAGTTCTGCTCACTCAACCGATGGGCCTCTTATGACCAAACAATCTTGTTTTCTTTGGGTGTGTCTGTCTCTCCAAAAAAGTGACGGATCCCAACTATTATCAAGGCACCTCTCCCTACCTATCAACGCGCCACAGGGACTGGAACTACTAATAGGGGTGTCACCCACAAAAGTGGAGGATTTCCACTATGAATCGAGGTGTTCGCACATTCATACAATCAGCCTTTGAATATTCCCGAATATGCAAATTGAATATTTCGAAGGGAACTGCGCAGACCAGGGGCGGTGCCCTGGCTTCCTTTTTTGGAGGGGGGAACCCCTTGGAAGCCAGCAGAAAGAGTGGCCCGTGTGCCCCATGAAATCCACCGGTCACTGGAGATCAAGCTTCCCCTAAGGGAAGCCAACAGGTTGAAACCTGAACACCCTCATTTGTATAGCCCTCCCCACATTCAAAGGGAACTACTGGGAACCAGAGTTTCGACCCAGCAAGCCAGGCCTGGCAGAAGCCTTCCAGGGCTCCAAAAAGAGAGTTGCCATGGGTTGACGCCTCAGACGGCGCGGGGAGGGTCCGGTCTGGGGCCCGCTTTTTTGTTTGCCGTGATTTGTTTTGAGGGATCTTGGGACCTTTTTGGGCGTGGTTTGAAAGGGAACGGAGGGAAGGGCACCTTTTCCATGTTTGTTTTGTTTGCGGCGGGGGGGGGAGTTCTGCGGACGTGGCCGAACCCTGGGAGACTGAGGAGACAAGCTCATGCTTTTGGAGATTGCCAAAGCAGAAGCCTTCCAGCCGCTGGGGGGCCAAGGGACTTTGAACCCCTTTTGTCGGGAGACCCGATTCACATGGAACTGCAAAAGAAGCACCGCCACCATTTATAGGAATCTGTTTTTGGGTGCCCCCCTTTTTGGTTCCATGCTTGCAGGGGGGGCATCCTAAAATTACCCTCTTTTGGATGGTGGATTCGAGGGGAACCAGAGGGGCACCAGCAATTTTGCATCAATCTGAGAAGCGAGCATGGCCTTTTGCTGCCAGTTACCCACTCGAAACGCTGACTTGCCGACAAGTGGGTAACCAAGCTTATCTCTCTTCGCCGATGTATACACTCACCTTGCCCCTGGTTGGTGTGAACCTCAACGAAGGCGGGCCCATCCCTCCGAAAACTTCGCGAAGGTCACAGCTTCGATGACTGGAGGTTGGGAAGCAAGTTGCCCTTTCATTGGGCCCTGTTAGGTTCCATCCTTTGGGTTCATCCATGTCTTCTCAATCTTTCGGTCGGAGATGGCTCCACTTTAAACAATTGTAACGAGCTCTTTCCCCCTAGCATCCTGCAAGTTGTTGCTGGGTCATTCGCGGTCGAATTTTCACACTCCAAAGCCTTTGAAGTGTTTTAAATTTCACAGAGGGTGATAATTGACCGTCCCACTCCTGCCACATAAAACGGAGTTGGAAATTCGATCCGCGGATGATCCACACAGCTTTGCAGAAACCATCAAGAGGCATAAACTTTGGTCCTTCTGATGTATGGAGCCAGCCCCCATGTCTCGGGTTGCAACCTCGCAGGATGCAGCGCTATGTGGACACGTACAAGGGCATGGCTGTGAAGGCCGGTTATCGGCTCGGGGCGCGCCTTTCCAAGAAAGTGGGTTCCAACTTGCAAGCGGTTTAACTGGGCCAGCAACCAACAAGGGGATGTACATGCTTGATTTGCCTCAAAGGCCCTAAGCCAGCTTGCGTGAGGCCCCAAAGGACATTGGCGCGGTCTGCAACCTGCTCTTTGCGGAAGGACACCGCGTTCAGCTTGCGGAAAGGGGTCCGAAGCAATCAAGAGAGGGGGGTATGAAATGGACGGCCGAATTTATGTGAGCGAATTCCTCACTGGGCTTCTCTGATTCACCCGCAAAACAAGGTCCATTGCTGGATAGGATCGCCTAGACTAAGTGCCAACCCCTCAAGCCAGAAGGCAATGTCAGGACCCGCGCCGCATTCCAGCGCCTTGTGTAGGCGCCGACATGGGTGTATGTGTTGTTGAGGGTACCATCTTTCCAGTCGGTCGGCTTCAATTGAGGGGAAACCTAAAGGACAACCTGCAAGTTTTGCATTTTGACACGCAGCCGCAAACGTCCCCAGAACCAGCCCCCTAAGGATAGGGTCCGAAAAGACGTCCAAATGCTGGTGTTCCAAAGCCTTGCCCATGTGTTTTGTTGTTTTTTCTCGGGGGAGGGGGGGGGCCGAATAAATAGGAAGAGTTGCCAGTAATGACAGAAAAGAAGCTGTTGGAGGTTTGATGAAGGTTTGTGGCATGCAAGCAACTAGAAAGTAGCCGCTTGGCAATCAAGTTGATTGTTGAAAGGCACCGATTCTCTTGGTTTGGGTGGGCAGAAGGGCTGTTGTCTCCAGGAATCAGCGGCGTGCTCATGAATGAGTTCCCCGTTCAGGCTTGGGCCGACTTGAGATGTAAACTCATCAGCCAGCTTAGGTGCGTTTCCTGCATCCAAAGAATTGGCACGGGCCAATCTGTGTTTTTCCCAGATACCTGAAAGCCACAGGGGTTCTAACTTTTAAAAAAAGAGGGGAAAGTGATTTGTGGTATTGACGGCTGGGTGGTAGTGGGCGTGCAGTTTGGGGTGCTGGCGCAGGTGCTGTTTGGGGTGCCCTAAGTCTGCAGATTTACTAATGTTAGTAAGGGAAGAATTTACGTAAATTGTTCGGAATGTACATAAATGTTTCGTTTTACGTAAATATTTAGTTAGGATTTGTTTACTACAAAATTACGCACATCCATTTAGTGACTACCTTTAAAAAAGAATAAAAAGACACGTATTTGTTTAAGTTTAGGTACTTACCAAATCTAGAAAAGCACATTTTTCTAGCTCGCATGTGTTTTGTTTAGCACATCGCTTGGCTCAGCGACATTAAACACATGTGGCCCGCTAGTCCCCAAAGGCTATCCGCGTCAGCGCAAAACTGAAGGAACTTCCATGACTGTTCTATTCATGTCTTATTCAGCTGCTTATGCATTTCTTATGAATTTCTTATGTGTTTCTTATGCGTTTCTTATGCACTTTTTATGCACTTTATAAGTACTCGCATTTCTTATGCAGTTCCTGGAAAGTTCGCGGACACTTCCTGGAAAGTTCATGGAAACTTCCTGGAAAGTTCCTGGAAATTTCATTGAAAGTTCAGGCTGAATACATCAGGACAACATGAGACATATGTAAAATTCAACCAACACACATCTCACTTGATAGCTTTTGCGACCGACTGGGACTGTCTTTTATATTTAAAATTGAAGTCAATGGCTAGTTGAAGTTATGGAAAAAAGCTCAACAAGCTTGTTATTTTACTACGCACTCTTGTTTGCCGCATGTTTGCCACGGCGAACAAGTCTGGATGCCGGCTGCCTTGACAAGTCTACATGCGCTGACTCCTTTCCTTAGGTTGCCGGCGTGCTACTCAAATCCGTAAGTTACATAAGAAATTCATAAGACAATCATAGAAAGTTTATACAAAGTTCATGGACACTTATTGGAAAGTTCCTGGAAAGTTCATAGAGACGTCCTGGAAAGTTCGTGGAAAGTTCAGACTGAATACATCAGGACTATATGAGACATATGCATAATTTCAACCAACACACATCTCACTTGTTGGCTTTTGTTACAGACTGGGACTTGTTTATGTTAGAAGTCCAAAATCAATAGGGTGTCTGTATGAGCTAGTTCAAGTTATGGAAAAACTCACCAAGCACTTGATTGTACTTAGCTGCGCTCAATTTGTTGCCGCATGTGTCCCACGGCGAACAAGTCTGGATGCGCGCTGCCTTGACAGTTTTACATGCGCCGACTCCTTTCCTTACGTTGCGAATGCCGTTGCGTTGTGATGAAATCCTGTGTGTTCGGTCGCTGTTGGGGTCTTGCTCTCGCTGGCCTTCTTGTCTTTAGCGCGATTAAGTACATTTTCAATTGTACTAGGACATGTACGTAAATTCTCTGTGTTTACGTAAATGCATGGTTTTGGTAAAATATTAAATCTGCAGACTTAGGGTGCTGTTTGACGGTGTCGCAAAATTGAGGCCAGGGAGCTGGGGCATGCAGCTTGGGCTGGTGCATGCAGCTTGGGCTGGTGCATGTGCTGTTTGGGGGTGCTTGGGTTTTGGGTGCTGTTTGCGGCGCTTGTTTTGCTGCGTGGTGCTGGGGTTTTGGCTCGGCCGGTCTGTCTCCCAGTCAGTCAGTCGCTCCAGTCGGTCGGTCGGTCGCGCCGGTTGGTTGGTCGGTTGGTCTCTCAGTCGGTCGGTTGCCCCGGTCGGTCGGTCGGTCGGTCGGTCAGTGGATTGGTCGGTGCATTGGTCGGTCGGTCAGTCGGTCCCTGGACCAGCCCTAAGCCAACCCTAAGGCCCTAAACCAGCCCCAAACCAGCCCTAAACCAGCCCTACACCAACCCTAAACCAACCACAAACCACCCTTAACCAACCCTAAACCAACGTAAACCAACCCTAAACCAACCCTACACCAACCCTAAACCAACCCTAAACCAACCCTAAGCCAACCTAATTAACCCTAAACCAACCCTAAACCAGTCCTAAACCAGTCCAAAACCAACCTAAACCAACCCTAAACCAGCCCTAAATAAACCCTAAACCGCCTAAACCAACCCTACACCAGCCAGAAACCAGCCCAAAACCAACCCCAAACCAACCTAAACCAACTCCTAAACCAACCTAATAAACCAACGTACACCAACCCTAACTTAAGTCAACCCTAAACCCGCCCTAAACCACCCTAAGCCAACCTTAAATCAGCACTAAACCACCCAAAACCAACACTAAACCAACCCTACACCAACCCTAAACCAACCTAAATCAGCCCTACACCAACCATACACCATCCCTAAACCAACCCTAAACCAACCCTACACCACCCTAAATTAATTTTAAATTATTTTTAAACCAACCCTACACCAATTTTTAACGAACCCTAAACCAGTCCAAAACCAATCTAAACTAATCCTGCCCTAAACCAGCCTAACCAACCTAAATCAACCCTAAACCACCCTAAATCAACCCTAACCAGCCCTAAACCAACCCTAAACCACCCTAAACCCTAATCCAACGTAAACCAACCCAATCAACCCTAAGCCAGTCCTAAACCAGTCCTCACCCTTAACCAACCCTACATCAACCCTAAACCAACCCTAAACCAACCCTACACCAACCCTAAACCAACCTAAACCATCCCTAAACCAACCCTAAACCAACCATACACCATCCCCAAACCAACCCTAAACCAACCCTAAACCAACCTAAAAATCAACCCCAAACCAGCCCTAAATTGCTCTAAACCAACCCTAAACTAACCTAAACCAACCCTAAACTAACCTAAACCAACCGGAAGCCAACCCTACACCACCCTAGGCCACCCCAAACCAACCCTAGACCAACCCTTAACCAACCCTAAACCAGCCCTAAGCCAGCCCTGCCGCCCTAAACCAACCCTAAACCAACCCTAAACCAACCCTACACCAACCCTAAGCCAACCAAACCAGCCCTAAACCAACCACACACCATCACTAAACCATCCCTAAACCAACCTAACCAAGCGCAAACCAGCCCTACACCAGCCCTACCCCAACCCCAAACGACCCTAAACCAACTGGAAAAAGAAGGCCGTGCCGAACCTGGGAGCAAAATAACCCTTCCGCCGTGCTGTTTGGGTCTAGGGGGCATGCAGTTTTGGGTGCTGATGACGGGCGAAGGCTTTTGCGAGATTGATGGCAGGGTGCTAGGGGGCATGCAGTTTGGGGTGTTTTGGGTTCTGGTGCATGTGTTGTTTTGAGGTGCTGGTGGCGGTGCGGGCGCATTTTGCCAGATTGGTGGGCAGGCTGCTGGGAGCACGCAGTTTGGGGTGCTGGTGCAGGTGCTGTTTTTGGGGGCCTAATGACGGCACGGCGAGAAGGCAATGTGGGGTGCCACCAAGTACAGGTCATTTAGCACCCCAAACAACTACATGTTTGGACCTTCACCGCGAACCAACATGACCCCCACGATTCGAGGGTCCCAATTTTTGACAGCTTCTCATGCTTCAATCAGCCTGGTAAAGAAACCCTGGTCTGGAGATGCTGGAAGCTTGGACAGCATCCCGATGTTATTTCCAATGGGGTGCCCCATCCCACACCCAGTGCGCCAAGGCTGATGCCTAGCCACACTACTCCTGTTTCTCCCGTGGTGCTTTGGAAGTGGAACCTGTCTCAAAGAAGTACGGGGGGAAACAGAAATTGAAAGCAATGGTAAAACACACAGCAGGGAACTGAGAGGGAATGCCAGTTTGATTGGATTTAGTTTGTTGGCCGTTCTGCAACCAATGTGCGTTTGTACGTGCAATGTGAAAATGCAACGTATTCAAATCTTTCTTAGCCATATTAGTTTTTGAATTTGCTTCCAAGGGAACCCTTCAAACAAATACACGAGCACATGCCCCAGATAGCCGATGATTGCACACCAGCCTCCAAGAGCACCCCCCGAAGAGTTGCAAAAATGCGCCCACACCATCACCAGCACCTCAAACAGCCCCCCTCAAACAGCACCTGGTTTGCGCCAGCACCCCAAACTGCATGCCCCCTGTCACCCTGTCAATCTCGCCGTGCCGTCATCACGCCCCAAGACAGCACCTGCACCAGTCATTCCTTAAAGGAGGCTACGAAGGGATGTGATGTTTCATTGTTTCGAATTCCGTATGTTATGCCCAACGTACCTTTC